CTGTAATTCACTTTTCTTTTTTTTTAAGTAAAAGTGTGTTATCATGTTAAACTAAATACAGCTTTTGTTTTGTTCTTAAAGTGACAGTTTAAATCTATTCAAGTAGGAATCTGTGAAAAGGATGTAAATGATTTTTGGACAACTTTAAGGTGGAGAAATATAATTTAAATCTGACTGGATTTACAAACTAATGGCTGCAAACAGGACCGAGACAAAAGTGGACTGCTGTTCTAAAACTACTCCATCTCAAACGTTTCACATCAGTTCATGTGTTTTAGAAATCATTACACTGCTGTCAATTTCAAATGACACCGCTATTTACATTACTTAATACTAATCCATAAATTATAGAGTTATGTGCAATTGCAAATAGAGGCAGCAGCACTTGTCGTAGCACTTATTGCACTTCTGAAGGAACAACCATGAAATGTGAAATTGACGGCAACGCACAGACAAAATAAATAGTTTTTGGGTGAACAATTCAATTCAGTTTATTCATATAGCACCAAGTCACAACAGAAGTGGTCTCAGGGTACTGAACAGAAAGATTCATATATAAAAATAAAGAGTTAAGAGTATGTATCTGAGGCTATGATATGTCTGAGACTGGAGATGTTGGAAGAGAGCAGCAATCCACTTTAGTCTTGACCCATCTCAGACTAGCCATTAGCTCGTCAGTTCAGTCAAATTCACCCAATCTGACATTGTCCTTTTTCATAACTTTTCCACTGAAGTTCTTTCTTAGAAGAACTGAAATGTCACCTATAAAAGAAAAGGAAACGTTTAATAAATTATCAGTAATGACAAAAGGGCACAGCCTGCTCTTACATTAACATTTTTAAATGTTTTTAAAAAGATTTAGCAATGAATTTGCCCACTTGTGTACACACACACACACACACACATATATATATATATATATATATATATATATACATATATATATATATATATATATATATATATATATATATATGTTTTGTCTTAATTGTGTCTATAGAATAGGTGTGAACAATTTTTATTTGGGCAACACAAATTAAAATAACGTTTGTGTCTAAATATGATGGAAATAGTGGGATAATTCACTATCCAGAGAAAATAAAACAGCAGTAAAAGTTTTGCTGAATTTGTGTTTGAAGAGCTCACCTCCACTAATATGAAAACATAAATAGGCACTCGTGACCAACACACTGCTTTTTCACAAACAACTAACAAATACTATAACTTGTGCAGTTTTAATGAAATTGGAGCAATATACATAAAAAATAAATAAATAAACCAGGTGGCAGAGAGCAGTACACCTTTTTTTAATATAAAATAGAAACAAAACAAAAATAAAATATGATGAAGAGTCAAAAAACATGATTTTTAAAAGGCAGTCTCCTAAAAAAGTCAATTTGTGCATCAGGGTTTTTTATGCCACAATAGAGCTGTGCTTTATTGACGCGTTTCAGCAAAGCTTTGCTTTCTTCATGGCTCTTGTGAAACAGTACATTCAATGCTTTTAGTTGCCAATTAAACTTTCAGATTAGCTCCTCTGTTGGTGAAAACATAGAAATGTATGAAAAGTTACAATTTAGTGGCAACAATGAGGCTGTAAGATGATGATAACAGTTCAAAAACATGAATTCTGCCTTTTTTTTTTTACATAGAATATGTAGGACCTTAGACTCCAAGACTACTTAAGAAGGACTGTCACTTGTTTTATGAATTTTATAAAGAGGTTGAACCAATTCTTGTGTAAACTTTAAATCAAAATGCTTTTAAGACCAAAAATGTGAAATATGTACCATGTTCAGTTGGCAACAGATTTATGGGTTTAACATACCAATAAGATCCATGTATGAATGTTAGCTGATAAAGACCAAATTGTCCTAAGGCAAAGTCATAGAGTGTGATATTCAGTGGTGTTCCTTTTTAAGTGCATTATTTGATGAAAACCAGGGTTATCAAAATGTAAAGTTAATCGATTTTGCACACATTAAAATACTGTCTGGCGTTGTTTCTTTTCTTCTTCAAAAAGCAGAGTGGGTGATGACATTTGATGTCTTTGTGAGTTTGTCTTTCACAGATAAACTAACTGAGGTAGAAAAGAACATGGGCTGTACATAATCCTTATGTTTCATTATTGATAACGCAGCAGCACGATGGAGACAAATGGCTCAGAGCAGCTGTCTTCCTCAACCTCAAAGATGTTTGTCTGCATCTTTCAAAGTTCTCTTTGTACTGTACCTCCATACATTGAATAGTTGTGTCTGAACATGTGGAATTAAACAGCAGGATCATTGCTAATGTAAATGGAGGTTCTCTTTCAAAACTTGCTCAGTATCTCACTGTGGGAAGTACCTGCAGGCGTAATCAATCATGGAAGCTCCACCCCCACCAAGTCTGTCACTGATAAACCAATCAGGTGCTTGACACGGGGTCGCCGTGCCACTTTATAAGCCTGCCCTACCTGGGAATCTTGCACAGCTGTTACCCAAATGTGTGCTCACACTACAAGACTGTAGACATCCAGATGTGTTCACCACTAGCACCCTGCTGGGAGAAGCATTTGTGAGGAAAGCTCTAGCAAGGATGAACAAAAAAGTGTTGATGTGTCTAGCAAGGATGCTTCTGGCATCTGTGTCAGGCTGTGGAGTCATTTTTGAAAAAGAGGTTGATTAACAGGACCTGGTCCAACACTTCGTCATCCTCATATAAATAATCTATATTCACTGGCGGGTATTTTTTGTCTCTCAAAAACTTTGTGCTGTTATTACAGAATAATCATGTTTTGGTCAGAACAGACAATATAACAGTGGTAGCATATATGAACCAATAGGACTGCACCTGCATGGTGACTGCTCAGACTGGTTCACTGCCTGATAATTTTGAGGAGTGTGCACATGATTTCATTATGCGCGGTGCACATCCCCGGCATGATGAACTGGTGGATTTGCTTTCCATGAGGAATCCACTCTACCAGGAGGGGAGACTCAACCTTAAAGTAATCCATTAGGTGTGGGAGAAATTCAGCTAGGCATCTGTAGATGCAAAAATTCACAGTGCCATCTTTAAAAAAAATAATTTAATGAGAAAAAAGAACCATTGGGGAGTGGAAGCATTGCATCCATGGCCAAGACACATTGTTTTACGCATTCCCACCTCTCAGCCTGATAACATTAATTCTAACAGAGTGAAGGAACAGCAACTAACCTTGATCATTGTTATTTGGCTGCAATTTCAGCATTCCAAAATGGTTTTGGAGTTGTACCAGTTTGGCAACGTCTTCTGGTTAAAAGTTTTATGTAGGATGCTCATTGTCTGCATACTGCAGTCAAGCCCCTATTTCCATCATGGGATTTACCTTTTGTCCTGAAAACTAGACATTCAGTACATGAACTCAAGGCTCTGTCCCTGAAAATAATCCTGCTGCTAGCTCAAACATTAGACTAGAGAATAGGTGAATTGCATGTATGTTTGTATGTCTACCTCATGGGTCCTATCCAGGGGTGTTTCTGTGGGGAACATCTGTGCAGCTGCTAATTGGGCATCCCAATATACTTTCATTAGATTCTATGGTCTGGATGAGACTGTGTTGTCGCTGGAGCACTCACTCCTTATCATCGTGCCTTAGTGTTGCACCAGCTCTTGAGGTGGGCTCATGGTGTTGACTTACATATTTTTGGTTGAGGCGTTGTTATGCTTTAGAGCAAGCAATGTGGGAGTTGGCTATAATTCCCAAAGAGGGATATCTCCCGAGTGACGGTTGAAAGAGGACTTTTGGTTATCAGGATAACTGCGGTTCTCTGAAAACTAAATGGTGTATCTCATCACACTGCCCTACTTACATGGTCACTCAGAAGAAATACACCAGGCATATGGCAGGGGCACTTATAAATGGAAATGGCGTCGCTATGCCGAGCACGTTCTTGGTCTGTCATTGACAGACTTGGTGGTAGTGAAGCTTCTAGAACTGGTCACATCTAAATGTACATATAGTGAGATACCTCACTCAGTTTTCAGAGAACCAGGGTTACCCTGGTAACTAAAAGTTTTCCATTTTATAGCAAGCAGCAAATGAAAAATAATAATGTAAAAACAAACAAAAAAAAGTATCTCAAGGCCTCAATTCAACCTAAACAACGGTGCTTTTTTGTTCAAAGGTAAATCTCTGATCAAAATAAGTTTTTTTTTTTAAAAAGATAATTCATACCACATTGAGTTTAAGACTTGAAAATAAATCATAATTACCCTCATACATTCATGGTTGGAACCTTCTCATTTTGAGCATTTTGAGGTATAAAGCCTTTTGTGCGATGCAAATTTGAATGTAAGTCAAATGTTTTGTGCTTCAATTTAAACGTATGAGGTACTATCATCATCACATTCCTGAGATTTAAAACAGAAAATGAAAAAAATAGCTAACCTTTACACTCAATTACCTATTTATGGATAATTAATGTAACACTATTTAAACAGGAATGACATTATCATGTATCACTTTAATGTATGCCTTTAAATTGACCAAATGTAAATTTGAATTAAAAAAAACTATTTGATTTTCAGTAAAAACAAGTAAGCATGTCAGTTTGGTTGTAATTAAACAATTTACACACACCTAAAACCTATGCAAGCTAATTAATGAAGCTTCATAGAAAACGATCCAATTATTCAGTTCAGCTCAAATTAACCACAACGGTTCACAGAGAGCACAAAAAAGACACAGTGGAAAAACTCTTTTCCAATAAAAAAAAATATTTTTGTCACATTTTAAAGCTTTTTTTTATATTAGCACATATTATCAATGAAGATTGTGAGGCAAAAGATAAAAAATAAAAATCAAAAAGCACCATCTCAGGCACTTAGCAACTAAATCTCCAAATCAGCAGAATATATATATTTGTATATATATATATTTATATACAAAATGGGGGCATCCTTTTGAAGTTATTTGAATGAAAATGGAGCTTCAGATAAATAAAATGTGTTAAATTGATTTAACATTGTGCGGTGTCTTCTGTCTGAAGCCTAAAAGGATATTCCCAATGTTTTACATTATAAGTCCAGGTTTCATTTGTTTAGTCAAGATCAAGTACTGATTTGAATTTAACAAATGGTTTTAGAGCAATTGTGTTTGATAGATCTCTTTCATTGACTACAACCAAACATTTTATTCCACTCAGTGTACACATCAAGCTCTTTTTGTGATATGCTTGGCTGGAATTTGCAAAATACATTGTCAAAGTCTTGGTATGAGACTGGTCTCAATTGACTGGGGTGGATGCTAGAAAGGTCAGCTCCAGGAATGCCATGAAGAGAACCAACCAGAGCCTCTTGACACAGCTGGGCTACATCCAGTCCTGAAAACCCCTCTGTCCTCTGAACTAATAGTGAAATCTCTTTGTCACTAAGACAATAGTTGTGCTGTGAGAGCACCTGACTGATTATCTGATGGCGTGCAGTCCCATCAGGCAAGGGGATAAGCAATCGCTTAGTAAAGTATCTTCGTAGAGTCTCTGGGATCACTTCAGGCTTACTGGTGGAGCAGACCACGAGAACATGGTCCTCAGCAGAGGACAAAATACTGTCAAGCTGTATGAGGAGCTCAGCCTTGAGGTGATTCACTGGGCTCTCCTCGGAGAGCTGAGCGGACAGCAGCAGATCTACATCACTGATGAACACTACTGCTGGCTGGCGACAACGAGCTACAATAAAAGAAGATTGAATGATCTTGTCCCCTTCCCCAAGCCACTTAGTCACTAGTGCTGAACTGCTTAACCGTAAGAAGGCAGCCCCCAGCTGGCTGGCCATGCAGCGAGCCAGAAGTGATCTACCAGATCCCTGAGGTCCGAATAAAAGGAGGCTCCGAGGTAATGTGGCAAGTCCACTAAACATATCAGGCCTTAAAATAGGCCACAGTATCTCCTCTTTAATTGCTGCTTTGGCCATATCAAGACCTGCAATGTCACTCCAGTCCACTGGAGAGCCGTGCTGAAGGATCTCTGTATTTACCATTTCCACCAAGCTGGAATCACTGTTCTTTAACTGTTCCTCTGCTGCATGGATGGAAGAGGTAGCCGTAGCTAAATCAGGGCCTTGCAGGGAGTGGGAGAGGTGCTGTCTGTGTTCTTCAGTCTGCTCACTCATAATGGAAGATCCAAATTTGTTGTAGGGCTCACCAGTTCTTAACTCCCCTGTTGAACTTTTGGTTGATCCATAGGATGGAGGACTTTGTGCTCTGCCAGAGTGTACATTGAATTTTCTTTGCTGATCAGAGGATATTGACTGTTTGGTTGGCTTAAAGGCTAAAGATGATGATTCTGCATTTCTTTCAAAGCCACTGCCCCTGTTTGAGTCGGAGATGCTGCTGTCTGCCACTCTGTACATTGGGCTGTGTGAGGAGTGCTGTTGGTTGTAGCTGAAATTACCATAGTTTGAGTCCACATCTCCGTGACCACTCATGTAGAAAGCTTTTCGTTTTAATGAGTTAGATGTGCTGCCATTCAAAGGTGTGGGTGCGATCGGTGGATGATTATGGGACTGGTAGGTGTAGGGAGGTATTGGGGTAGGAGCTGCAATGCCAGATGGCAGATAAGCAGAAGGAGGTGGCGCTCCCCCAGAACTATAACCAGGACCCACAGCGGTCTGTGAAGCATACCCTGTAGGAGGATAACTGTAGTTGGGAATGTTTGGAGACCCACCATTGTAGCTTGGCACTAAAGCAGAGGGCGGAGGTGGTGGTTGTAAAAGCCCAGCACTCTGCAATGGTGAAGGGTGTGGGGAAGGGAGGGCTGGGGTACTCTGACTGCTGTAGCTTGAATGCAGGTAGGAACCGTTGTAACTGGCAGTGTATTCCTGAGAGGGGATACCCGAATGGAGCGTGGTGGCTGGGTGACTCCCACAGTTACTGCTAGAGTAGCTGGGCTCAGACAAGCTGCTAGCCACCCCCGGGGAGCTTCCTATGCTGGCCGATGTGTCTGTAGGGGGGAGGGCAGCTGTCATTCCAGCTTTGCTCACAGATATAACATCTGGAGCACAGTTCATTGGGTAAATCCCCTCCTGCCATGAGTCATTCTCTGATTTCCGTCCATTCATGAGTCCAGTGGTGCTATCAGAGTAGGAGCACAGCAGGGCTCTTTCATTTGGGCCTTCTAGGATCCCAGAGTACTTCTCTGCGTATTTCTTGAGCAGATTGGATGCAGTCAGTGCAGAGATGTCATCGTTTGCCCACGCATACTGGTATGTTCGCTGTAAGTGCCCCCGGTAGGCCTCCACTTTGTGCGCTGGTGAGCGGGTAGTGGATGAGATGTCAAAGTGTTGCTCTGCCCATTGTGTATGCTCAGGGGTCCACTGCATCTTTATACCTAGATATTATGCAAACAAGAGAATTACGTTAAAATTAGCATATAACTATGATTAATAATCATTAAAAATATAATATTATACATTTTTCATGAACACTAATAAGTATTCAGATGCATGCTCAATAATCCAGGTAGAAATAATAAGTAGAAATAAAACAATACAATTTTAAAAAGTTTGTCTACTAATGGATTAAATTAACAATACATTTTTTTTATCTCTTTTGATAAAGAACACTAACAGCATCTGCATGTGATGGTCAATATGAGGATATGAGACCCAACACCTGGTTACCATGCTATAATCCACCCAATGCAGAGCAGAATGACACAGACATTGCAGGTCAGTCTATAATCCAACTCTCATCTGTGGCATTCTGAGACAGTTTCAAATCTGCTTGGAGGAGAGCAGCAAAGCAATCTTCCTTGGCAGCGCTCTGTTGCTTTCATCACACAAAGCCCTCGGCCCAGCATGAATTACATCCACATCGAGTCTGCCTACTGCTTCCCAGCCGACAACGTGAGGAGGGGGGGAAAAACATGCTTCACTTGTCTTTTTCTCCGCAGTCTTGCTCGGACTTACTGTGAGGCCTTAAGGGTTTGAATGACAGAAATAATCATGATAAATCCTAAAGTCAATCTGCAAATAGAAGTTTTTCCTCATGATCTTTCAGTCTGGGATTATTAGAGATTGTACTGTATCAAATCAGAATGGAGACTATTAAGGATTAGAGCTCAAAATAATCTGAGAGTCATGTTTCATCAACATTACTTTGAATGAGAAATACTCACATTTCTAAGATACATTTATATGTTTGCTGCCTGAAAAAAAACGCCTGTCTTTATTTAGCTATAACTACACTGCCATATTTTATACTTCAGTAGGTTAAGTCGATATCACAGGATTTAGACAACAAACAGCTACTGTCCAGAGGCAGATTACAAACAGTGTTTGTCTGTGGATTCCCTTCTGATTCCCTCCCAGCCATTTGCCAACCTGCCACACCAGACACCAGCAGCTAATTAGCAGAATGATGCTGCACTAATTGTGTTAATTTACAAGGTTTAGTCAAAGAGATCAGTGCTATGCCTCACATGGATGTCAACTATTCAAGCTAACGATTAAAAAGATGCTTGAGGAGAAAGGCAAAATGGCTAAAACTCACAAAAACAAAAGAAAAAAACGCATGATGGATTGTGACAAATAAAAACATAAAACATGCATCACACTGTGTACATCAAAATTATTGGAAAGGTCAATGCCTTTTGACTAAACATTATATTACAGTTAGATATTTAAAACATCAATCCTAGTCACTGCTTTTATATTAATTACCCACTACATTTTTATTCAATTTTGTTAATTTGTAGGACTTTAAATGCAAATACTTTGTCAAAGGCATTATTGTCCTCTCAACCAGCCGGTCAAAGCAGATGGCCGCTTGTCCTGAGCCTGGTTCTGCTGGAGGTTTCTTCCTGTTAAAAGGGAGTTTTTCCTTTCCACTGTTGCCACTGTGCTTGCTCAGGATGGGAGACTGCAATGAAGCCAAGATTCAACTTGTCTGCTGGATTCCTTAGATAGAGAACTTTACTAATTGGCTTTTTATGTATGTGAATGTTTCTGTAAAGTGCCCTCAGACAACTTTGTTGTGATTTGGTGCTTTATAAATAAACTGAATTGAATTGAATTGTATTATTTTTTCTTGGCTAAAAAAATTTCCCATGAACAAAACAATATTGGGGAAATAGGGACGAGGACTGTATTGTCAGACAGGAATCCAAAGTGGTACTGACACCACAGTTGAGACCAGCAGAATAATGGATTTTGTAAAAAATCACTCAGCTGAGTTCCTTAACACTCTAGGCCCATTTTGTCAATAACAAAATTGCACACAGCTCACACTGAGTGAGATTCTTCTATTACTGCAAATCCTCTCTGAACAATTTGCCACTTTGGACAATCAAAGAGGAGCTACTTGCAAAGTGTTCTTGAGCTCACTAAGCATCAGGTGATTTTTAAATAATTAAATTATATAAGACAGTGGAAATAAAGCACTTTCGCTATAAAAATAAAAAAACACTTGGGCAAAAATCTATCTATCTATATTTATCATTGAATTAATATATCTATCAATG